GGAGGACAGGAAGGAAAGAAGGAAGGAAAAAAGAAGGAGAGAGGGAAGGAGAAAGTGAAGGAGGGAGGAGATGGAATTAAAAATAAAAATGGAAGAAAAGAAAAAAGGGAAAGAAGAAGAAAGTGAAGGAGAAGGAGGAGGAAAACAAGAGGAAAAGGAGAAGGAAAATGTACACCAGGGGATGGAGAAAGAAAGGGAGAAGGGAATATGACCTAGAATAGCGCTTTTAGAGGTGACGTACAACATGAAGACAAATATTAGAATATTTTGTCCTCATAACAGATTGATAAGAAGGCTGAAAGCCAGGCAGAGCCGCCCTGAGTTCAAAACATCATAAAAAAAAAACCCTCCCCGGCCAGTTCCCAGCCCTGTTAGCAAGACGGATATAAAACCCAACCTTGGGGATTCTGCACAAGGCGATAACATTTTTGCTGAGTGGGAAAACTTCCCTGTGCGATCAATAGTTTTATCGGAGGGCAAGTTGGGTCCAAAGGCAACGGGGAGGAAGCTGGCCTGTTTTATTTGAACAAGCCATTTGCTTCTCTTTCTCTCCCCACCCCCCCCCCAAAAAATTGCATTTATTTTTTAATTTTTGGACATTGTGCGTTGCAAAAGTAAAGGTTTTTTTTTTTATTATTTTATTTTATTTATTTCGTTATTATTTTATTGTATTGTATTGTTATTTTATTTTATTCTATTGTTATTTTTATTTTATTTTATTATTTTATATTTTATTTTATTTTATTTTATTATTTTATTTTATTTATTACTTTACTTTACTTTACTTTATTGGAGTGTTGGCCTGTTTCTGTCTCCATGATCAGCGATTTACTGACAGTTTTCGTAATTTATCAGAGGATCAGCAAACCCCAACAGAAAAAGAGAGAGAACCCTAAAGGGAAATTAAAAATTCATTTAGGTTCCTGAATTTATCAGCCACCCAATTCCAACAGAGTCTGGACAGCAACGGTAAATTAGATAATAATAATGATAATGATAAAAATAATGACAATGACAACAACAACAACAATAATAATAATAACAATAATAATAAACCGATTTTTTAAAAAATCCCATCAACTTAAAACAGTTTCTATCCACCACAGAATCAAACCAAACGAAAGAGTTCCTAGGTATCAAGAGGAAAATAAAAATAAAGACTTTAACAAAATGAAAAAGGAAGAAAGGGTTTTGGAGCACGGAATGGAGTCAATTCCAGAAGGGTCCTCTCCACTGGCTGGCTCAAAGCTGAAAAGTAGCGCTTTCTCTCAGCATTTTCCACCCAGAAGGCAGCAAGAGATTTAATAGATTTAATTAACATTGGCCGGTTAGTAAGCTTCCTTTTTTCTGACGTTTGAGTGTTGCAGGGCTCCCAAAAAACAAATATTGACAAATTGTTGTGTGGGTGTGTTTTTTTAAGTGTGTCTCCATAGCAACTGGGGGGGAGGGGGGGCACATAAGAGCCGGGTTCGAGTTGGGGGGCAGCTGGTGTGGAAAGAAACTGAAGTTCACATTAAGTAGGCAGCGCAAACAATTCCTAGAATCGCCAGAAAACAAACACGGGTAAATGGTAATTTTGTTAATGCGGTTATTTCTTCCTTTCTTTAAAAAAAAAAAAGAGAGCTTCGGTTAGAAAGCTTTGTTTAAACATGGGAGATTGCGGCCTGTGGAACTCCCCGCCACTTGCTCAATATGGCATTCAAGCCGTGATTGATTTTGGGCAACGTGGGTGCCAAATGACTGCATAATTAACTGCAATTTATATATTGATTTACTAAATAGACCGGCCACCTGTCTCGCTTCTAGAAAAGTGACACTGAATGAAACTAATGCTAAAAAAGAAACTCTAAAGTATACTTAAAAAAAAAAAAGAAAAAAAATTGGAGAATTCACACCCGGGATTGAGAAGCCAAAAAAAAAGGACCGAAACCAAGTTGCTGAAAAATAAAAATTTTGCAAAGGGTTTTTATGCGAAGATTTATAGCGGTGAAGTCCTCGACGCGAGACAACGGAGCTCAACGTTTCTGTCGCTTAAGCGAGACAGCTCCCAAGGGAGCTTTGCCCACTTTTTTTAATGACCTGGCTTGTCATAAATACGAGTCCATTGTGTCTGAAAATGGACCCCGTGACATTTGGCAAGCTGAGTCGTGTTTAGGACGAGCGTCGCAGCGATCTGGTTTTGCAAAGCTGAAGATTCCCAACTGTGCTCCTAACTTATTGCAGGGATTCACTCAGTGACGAGAAAAGGGGGCAAAACGAGGCACAACGAGCTTAAGAATTTGTTTTTCAGTCCATGAGAGGCTACGACGGTTGTAAGTCTGGAAAAAAGCACCTCTAAATCCCTTTTTTCTCCCCACTGTTGTAACTTTGGATAGTCCCTAAACAAATGTTTGTACACCAGACTACCAGACAGTGGAAACTTAATTTGAGGTGCTTTGCTCTATAACGGAGATCTATTTGTTCCACACCGCCAGGGAGAATCTGAACTCAAACCGGATCAGATTTCAGGAAAAGCCATTTTAGCCCATGCTTGTGGTATTGGATTCCCGGCAGTGGAGCGGTAATCAATTTAGAAAAAAGGTCGCTGGCGGAAAAGCAAGACGACCCCGGCAGGAAAATACGAGATTTTAATTATTATTTTTTTTGCAAAATCTGGCATTTGATTAAAGGTTAACAGCGGAGAGCCAAGAATCAGGTTAACCAATCGGGAGGAATTCACAGGTGGCTGCTAATCCCCTTGCTTGCGTCCCTGGGATGGGGGAAAGGGAGGTCTTCTAGTCCATCCCTGGGGCCAGGGCAGGGGCCTTCTCTTAAGGGGGACTTCCTGGAGCTGGACTGAAGTGTGGGGAAACCACAGGGTAGGGGGCTGACTTAAGTGGATTTTGGGAGGGAACACCTGGAGGAATATATGATAGGAGGAAGAAGAGGAGGGAGAAAGGAGGATGGAGAAGGAAAAGAAGATGGAGAGAGGAGGAAAAGATGGAGACAGAG